GGATCTGGTCCCTAGCTGCTGGAAGGTAGGTACTTTCTCAACAGTACTAGAGACAAATGTAATAGAATCTTCAGCTTGTCTTCCCAAAGTTGTGGGTGTGTTTAGACCTCATACTTGATCAGAACCTTTCTGTTGGCCCTAGTCATTACATTACCCATCTTCATGCCACTCATTTTCTATTTAGTTAGTTGATACATGCTTAGTGAGAAACTACTTTGTACTGAATAGGTTGCAGAAATAAAAATAGGAATTTTACTGGTAGTAAGATGAGAATAACAATAATTTTCAGTTATATATTGAGGAAGTCATGAGAATAAAAGGTATAGCATAGAAAACACAGTCAATGGTATTGTAATAGTGTTGTATGACAGCAGAAGCTAACTACACTTGCGATGAGCCTAGCATAACATATAGAAATGTTGTACCTCTGAAACTAATGTAACATTGTGTGTCAGCCATACTCAAATAAAATTTTTTTAAGAATAATAGCTAACATTTATTGAGCATCTTATTAATGAGGAACACTCTTCTATAAATCTCAATCTCCACAAAAATAGGTACAATGAGGAAATTGAGGCATGAAGACCACAATGAATATGACCTTCTTTCAGTCCTTCAAGAAGTTCAGTTAAGTAGGGAGAGAATTTTACACATAAATGATTACCTCAACAAATATTATCTCAATATTTGTAGAAATACAAAGATATAAAAGATATCACTTGGTGGGGGAGAGGCAGCATAGAGTGAATGCTTCAAAGAAAATGCAGTCTTGAAGGATGACTAGGAACTTGTTAAATAGTTAAGGGGGAAGGCATTTCAGGCAAAGGGGCAAATACACAGAGACCTAAGGACATGAAATGGTAAGTATGGTATCTATTGAAAATCTTAAGTGCCTCAGAATGACTGGAGCATGGTGTATTATTGGGCAGGCATAGCAGATGAGTCCTAAAAGATAGGAAACCTAAAGTAATATTTTGTGGAAATAGTTCATGGTGAGGAAAGAAAAGTGTGATGTTCTCTATGCTTAGGGCAGAGAGAGGAGCAAGTTCCTTCTCCTGGGAGAAAGACAAGGGAACAATTTCCTCCAAAAACCACAAAGGAGGGGACTGTATGAGACAGTGTGGAAAGATAGTAGCTACCAGGAATGGTGTTCAATGAACCAAAAGAACCATAAACTTAAAGTCCGGACCAACTGAAATAATAGGAACAGAGGCCAGATCAACCTGGAAAGGGTCTGCTTAATATTGTGTTTTAAAACCTGAGCCATCATTATATCAAAATCCTATAAGATGTGTATATCCTTTGATCTATCAAATCAAGAATTTCTAATGTGGGAAAAATTAAGATTAGATATATAGTTGTAGCTACAGCTATTCATCACAACATTGCTTATATAACTAAAAATCACAAGCAACTTAAATATCTAATGATAAGGGATTGTTTAAATTATGGAAAATTCACTCGGAATGTAGGGCAGCTAAAAGAAATGAAAGCATATTTTATTTATAGAAAAGGAATGCACTATAGATTATTGGAGTGAAAGTAGATAATAGTATAGTCAGTATAAATGAATCATATGTCTTTGTCTGTAACAATTTCTATAGGGAGAAAAATAACTGGAAGTATATGAACCAAGGTGTTCACAGGGGTCATCTCTTGAAAATAGGATTGTGGTTGATTCTTAGCTTTCTGTTTTTGCTTGTCTCAGTTTACTAATTGTTTTTAATTGTGAACAAGAATGATACATACAGCAAATATGGCCTCTGTGTAGCAACTGAAGTTCATTTATTTGTCACCAAATACAGTGACTGTAGAGGGTGAATGATTCGATTCTACTTGACAAACTGAATATCCTGAATTGATCATTGTGATCTATCTCGATAGAAAATACAGTATGTGCCCTCAAATTGCCTTAAGACTTAAGATGTGAAAGAACCTAGAACTGCCTCTAGACTGTGGGTCCATAAGTGACAAATACAAGAAGTTTTTAATAATAGAATTCATTGATTTAACCATTAGTTTGATAATAGAAAACATAAACCAATACCTTTGTATTGTGATAGCAGAGAGAGAAACTGAGACCCATCTGGCAATTGAGACAGCTTGCTGGCCCCATTTGTTCACAATTATAGTCACATTAACCACCTGAGAAGGACTATTATCAATACGCAATGGGGAACAAGCTCCCTTTGAAAGCATGTCTTAAAAATTCCCTGTGATCCAGCAATTATATTCTCAGGAGCCTTTCTACAGAGGCCTTTACAAAAGGCCTGTACAGTAAAGTTCATTGCATTATTGTTTATAAGAGAAACCATTTTAAAAAATCAGATGTCCATCTTAGAGAAGTGGATAGGTGAATTATAGTTCAGCAATACTGTATAATTCCATGTAGCCACTAAAAATAACGTAATAACATGGCAAACATCCCCCAGACACATTGGTAACTTTTTAAAAAAAGGCTAATTAGTATAAAATTTGTGACCCATTTATGCTCTAATAGAGAATCTTACATGTTATTCTAGGAATTGCTCGGATTTTTGATATTGCTAGGATTTTTAAAATTTATACTCAGCAGGCACGTGTATTCTTTTCATAAACATAAAAGTCAAAGAAATAATTCTAGGAATATAGACAGTACCACGCAAAACCTAGAATTTCTGGTATATTTTAAGTAGTTAATGATTACTATGTTGTAGAATTCTCATAAATATTTATGGGATGATGTTCATGATGAATAAATAAGGCCTTTTTAAACCTTAGTGTTTTTAACCAAATGAATTGATAGGTCTATTGGAGAATTAAAAAGTATTCAAGTCTTCTCATTTTTCTTAAACTTTATGAAACATAAAAATTCCCTTAAAGAAAATAAAACCAGGGGCTCAGTCATTAAGCATCTGCCTTCAGCTTAGGTCACGATCCCAGAGTACTGGGATTGAGCCCTGCTTCGGGCTCCCTGCTCAGTGGGAAGCCTGCTCTTCCTCTCCTACTCTCCCTGCTTGTGTTCCCTCTCTTGCTGTCTCTCTCTCTGTCAAATAAATAAATAAAATCTTTAAAAAAAGAGAGAGAAAGAAAATAAAACCACACATTTCACTACCATTATCAGTTAACTTTTCCCATTTATTAACAAATTCTTTAAAAATCTTTATAAACCATGTGTATTATGCCTGGCACTGCAGAGCAGAAGGCAAGGATGGTTCTATCCTTTGTGGACTTTATGATATTTCGAACACCTAAATAACATGGTATGAAATTAAAAAGGAGGTAGCAGACATTAGTAGACAGATTTGTTTATGTTTAAAGAGCCACAGACTAGTTCAAACAAAAGCAAAGTATATATAAATAAGCAATATGCAAATTATATGCATATATGTAGATGTACATCTATATCACAAATGTTCATTTAAAAATAAATGATGCAAAGGAAAGAAAGAAGGAAGGGATAGAGGGAGGGAGGGAGGGAGGATGGAAGGAGGAAGGGAAAGAAGGAAGGAAGGAAGGGAGGGAGGGAGGAAGGAAGGAAGGAAGGAAGGAAAACAGACGACCTCTAATACACAGGTCTCTGATGGCAATTCAACAACCACACTGCAATGTCAATAAGTACTCAAAAACAAAAAAAAAAAAACCTATTCAAACATCAAATTTGAGATATGGAAAATAAGTATAAGAGAGCAGCACAAGGGACATTTTGGTCTAAGGATTATTTGCTGGTTTAAAGAAGGATAGGGAAGCAAGACTGATTTCCCTCCTGTTAGGGGTTTGCCTGTTCCGCATCTAACATTATGCTATTTAGATTTCTTGAAAGGGCCGAGAATGGTGTCTGATTCGGGGAAGTCCTGGAGGGAGCCGAGGCTGGGAAGGAACATAAGCTCTGTTGTAGCTACTGTCACATGCCATTTCTGCTTGTCTTTACACATCTGTGTCCCCAGCTGAACAGTGCCTTGAGGGCCAAGATTCTGTTTTCTTTACCTTTGATTCCCAAATATAAGGCACAGGTCCTGACACAGAAGAGATGTCTGATGTTGGTTGAACACATAAATATATAGTGTTAGAGAATCATAAGCTACTTTTCTGGGATCAGTATTCACATGACTATTTGGCTACTAAGATAATTGTCTAATTTTTATACATATATATGTATACATATATAAATATATAAAATTATAATATATCATATATAAAATATATATGTATAAAATACATATTAATAAAATATAAATTATGTAACAAATATACATTTACAATTAATGTGTAATGTTTATATAGTATATGATATATGGTATAGACTATATGTATACACATATGCATATTATATATGTATTATATATAAAATCAATATATTTATATGTAAATATAATGTATTTTATACATGCATTATACATAAATATACACATAATGCATATATCTAAATACATAAAATCAGGGTAATTATCTTATAAATCACTCATATACATGTAAAGATTACCATAAATAACCAAGGACAACTGATAGGCAATAGCCCACAAACCCCCTATGGCTCAGGAATGAAAAAAGAATCTCTACACAAGGGTAAAGAGAAGCATAACTATTTATAGAAGGGGATAGGTGGTTTTCCATAAATAAAAGTATATATGACTATATCTGAAGATTAAAGAAAGGGAAAAAGTAGGGCAAATTATCATTCTGGATAATCTGGATGATTTTCATTTTGAATCAAAGTCTTAATAATCTGTCACCAGTTGTCAAATATTAGCAGCTAGACTAAAAACAGCTTTCATTTCATCAACACTGAGAATGAGGGAAACTTGCTTCCTTTTGTCCATGCTGAATACAGGGACATAATAGCAATACCCATTTGAAATCTGTAGGGTAGCTTTGTTTGTCAATGGTAATTAATTTCTTGGCCGAGGATTTGTTCTTCATTATGAATAAAAACTATGGTTTTAATTGTGGGAATATTCAATTCAAAGCAAATTGGTGAGCAACTATTATGTTATAGGTATTTTTTGTTTGTTTTTTTCCAGGAAACTCTGAATGCCAGTTTTATGCCTGGATAATTGTAGCCTTTTTGGGGTTAGCTCTGGTTGTATCACTGATCTTCAATATTTCCCACTATGTGGAAAAGCAGCGACAAGGTAAGACATTTTGAAAAATAGCCAGATAGTACCAGCTTGAATAGAAACAAGTCACTGGAAAACCTACAGAAGAAGACAATTTTATGAAATGTCATGAAATAGGGTATTTTCATCTGTAGGAATCCTATATGATACTTTTTTTTCTACCCTTAGGTTTCTCTTAATTTAAAAATGCCATCATATTAGAATATAAACAGACTCCCAATCTTGGCTTTATCTCTGCCTTAACAAATATAGAGTAGGAAGGAATTGTCCTGGTAAAATGTAGTTTTCCTCCTCCAACTCAACAGCTCATGAAATTGTAGCCCCTTCTGCAGCAGCCATAAAAGCTCTCACTGATAGCTGATGTAAAGTGTGGAAACCCAAATCCTCAAGCTTCCATTCAAGCCTACTCAAACCCCTCAGCATCAGTCAGAGGCTCTGAAATACAGTTAGCTGGACTGGGATCAGAAGAAAAATGGCAAAGCAACAGGCTGACCCACAGGCTGACCCACTGACCACAAAGCAACACTCCTGGGGTCAGCTGTTCCTTTAAACAAGCTGGTCAGAAGTTTTAGCCCTGTGGCTTTCACCCTCATGAACATGACTGAAATAGTTCAATGCCCAGCGATGGCACAATCTTTGCACACCACTGGCATTCAATACAAGTGTGTTGGGTAGATGGATGGATGGATGGATTGATGGCTGGATGGATGGATAGATACGAAAGTCCAGCTATTTTGGGGAGCAGGACATTTCAGTGGTTATAATGATAGAAAAGAAAATGTCGATACATTTTAACAGATGAAAAGAAGTAAAACAAAGTTAATAAAATTGCATTAGACACATGACCAAGAAGAACTGCATGAAGCTAATTTAGACAATGGTTAGAATCTGGGAGAGTCCTTGATCCTCTTGGGATAACACAAATATAAAATATGAAGATGGTGTTACTGTCACACCTCTCAAAAAAGATGAGAGGCACTAGAAAGTGAAGCCGTATAGCTGAGGTCACATGTCTACTCAATAACAAAGTCAAGGATAAGGGTCCTGTCTAATTCTCTGTCCAAAGTGGTTCCCACCAGCACACGCTGCTTTTACATTGTGTACCAACTATCCTCGGCCAGAAACCCAACACTCCTTTAGGATCTCTATTACATCATTTCTAAGCCTGAAATGCCAGGCAGGCAATGCTTTTTCATTAGCAATGATTTCAATAATTCTTTTTTTTTAATTTTTATTTTTTTATTAACATATAATGTATTATTAGCCCCACAGGTACAGGTCTGTGAATCGCCAGGTTTACACACTTCACAGCACTCACCATAGCACATACCTTTATCAATGTCCATAACCCAATTAATAATTCTTTTTTAAATCAAATGTTTTTTGAAACAAATTTCATAAGTCAGATGCATGAATGACCCATCCTCTAACATTTTTGAAAAAGGCTTCCGTCATAGGAAAAAATGAGCTAAGAGCAGCACTTTTCTTTATATAATAGCTTAAAATGGCTATATTTTAATTTCTCCACTAGGATATTTTATGAATGCAGATAATACTGTCACTTGTATTAGAAAAAGGTGAATTGAGGGGGATCTGGATGGCTCCATCAGTTAAACATCTGACTTCAGCTCAGGTCATGATCCCAGGGTCCTGGGATCAAGTTTCACCTCAGGCTCCCTGCTTAGTGGGGAACCTCCTTTTTCCCTCTCCCTGTGTCCCTCCCCTTGCTTGTGCTCTCTCTCTCTCAAATAAATAAATAAAATCCTTTAAAAAAGAAAAAGGTGAATTGAGAGCTATAGAGTTGAAATAATTTAGGACGGAGGCCAGGACAAGAATACCATGTGAACTAATACTTCACTCTCTGTTGATTTTGGTGCAGGTCTCTGGAGTCTCCGGTCCCTGTGTGGGACCAAGGAACAAGTGTTCTTCTCAGTTCTCATTTTTTTGGTAGTTTGTGCTTTGGAATTTATTTATCCATATTCATACCATTTGCCACCATATGGACCCCTTTTGGGAGTTGTTCTCTTATAACGGTTAGTTGACCACTACCAAAAGACAGTAGACTAACTTTTTAAGAAAGAAAACAAGGAATAAAGGAAAGGAGGAAGGGAGGAAGGGAAAGAGAAAGTCTTTTTCTTAAAAAAAAACCAACAGATTTTTTTTTTTTTTCATTTCAATTGTACAAACCATGTCTCAGGCGTGTCACAAATTACTTTGTCTAAAAGCAGTATGGTGGGAAATAACATTAAAAAAACAGGAAATAGTCAATTATATTCATTGTTCTATTTTTAAAAATTAATTTTGATTCTCTCAGTTTGTTTTTAACATCATGGCTTTTGAAGTCAAGTGCCATTAATTAGAATGTTGCTTTCAATATATACCTGGGAGACGTCTTGTACCAGAAACATAGTTTCTCATAGTTTCCTTGCCTACAAAATGTGGAAAACACTGTTCAGACCAAGGGTTCTTATAAGACTTCTAGAGATCCCTCAGCATCGTGCTGGGGACTGAGGAGGTCAGTCTTGTTCAGGGCACAGCCCACAACACCACTCTCGGTGGCCCCAGTGCCTCCTTTCCTCCTTCCACTCGTATTTGTGAAGAGCTTGCTCTAACTATATCTTTCCCCATTTAATTTTAGTGTCAGGTTCAGGGAACGTTAGTTCCTCTGACTCCTCACTCCTAGAGAGAGGAGAGATCTCTCTAGAGGACCTAGAGGATACATCTCTGTATTCTCTAGGTCCTCTTCTCTAGAGGACCTAGAGGATACATCTCTGTATTCTCTAGGTCCTCTCCAGCTCCCATGTCACTTCCTGCCCCATGTCTATATCATTTAACGTGTCCATGCAATAACCTGAGCTTTAGCAATGACGCTGTGTCCATTGAAGTCCTGCACAGATGCCTTTTAGAGCATTTTCCATAGGCTTTCATAGACGGTTCTAACCGTTAAGTCTACTGCAAATTATTTTATTTAAGCAATAACATGCCAGGGTCTTGCATTTTATTAGCGTGCAAACCTCAGATTAGCCTTGCAGCAGTGCTCATGGATGCCAAAATGCCCTTCATTCTCATCCCACCTCACCATTTTCTCACTGCAACCTTCTCCTAACTGCCCCAGCTTCTCCTGACGTCTTTCCGCTAGCATCAGTAATAAATGTCACCCTTTGCTAGTCCACATGAGCAAGTATCGCACTGTCTTGTCTTTCTCACACGAAGGCTACAGGTCGCTCTAGGGTTAGCTCTGCAAGCTGACTTCTGTCCTGTCCTGCTAAAGCCTCCTCCCGGCTTGCTTTGTCGTAGGCAGAGGAGATTCGATGACATTAGCCAGCTTTTCTGCCACTTGGTGTGCTATTATTTGTGGCTAAGAAACTTGAAAGATAGGACTCCACCTATGGCGAACAGTGAGTGAATAAGTTGTGCTGGTGTATTAAATGACTTACGAAACAAAATCTCCATCCCAGCAACAACGCAGTATCTCCCCATTCAATCAGATAGACATGATAAGCCTCTCCTTGATGTTTTCTACAGCAGTGCTAGCTAGGTAAAAGCTTTGTAATGGAGTTCTCCCTTCCCCCAAAATAAACCTTACATTTTTAGGTGATTCTTTGTCTGTTCTTTAGGAGGATTATATTTATTTCTTTTTCTGCTAGGAAGGTATTAGCTTTGTCCTCCTTTAAATCCAAAAAATTTTCTTTATCCAACCTTTCTTCTCTGTTTTGAGAAGAAGGATAAGTAAGTGTATGGTTTGCTCATACATCAAAGTCTTATCAGTACATCTCCTATTCACTAGAAAATTATGGCACATTTTTCACATTTTCACATTAAGAATGTATCAAAAAATGTTATTATGGAGTTTGGGCCATGTGCTGTTTTTCTTGTTATGTATTGCACATGGAAGAGTAAACACTATAAAGGAGAAAACATAAAAGCAAATGTTTGCTTACCTGCTCTCAACCATGAACCTGACCGCAAGTTGTCTGTATCTGAATCACAGAGAGGATTGTGAAAACTCACCCACCTCTTCTCACACAGAATCTTGCAAATGTAACTGCTTCATAGCAACATAAAAACTGCTTTTAGTTTTACTAAATATCATTGAGGTTATGGACATTGGGGAAGGTATGTGCTATGGTGAGTGCTGTGAAGTGTGTAAACCTGGCGATTCACAGACCTGTACCCCTGGGGCTAATAATACATTATATGTTAATAAAAAAAATTTTTAAAATATCATTGAGTTGATTAGGTAGCTTCTAAATCATGCCATTTATTTGTAAATAAACTTATAAGCCTTCATGAACAAGCCAACGCTCTTCAGGAGACTAAGCTTGCTGACCTTTCTCCTTGGTCCAACCTCTAAACTTTTGATTACCACTCCTCTATTTAAAGAAATCATATGCTACCACACTTCTTACCATAAGAAGGAACTTACTGAAACCATACGAGTACAGACTGTCCAGCTTCAGATTATACATTTAAATTCTAAGAGGAGTACAGAAGGTGGTGACCTTGAATGTTTTAAGAACACTTTCAGGCTACAGTTTTAAGAACGCTGATTGGTCTTGGTGCATAATGTCCTTTTCCCAATACTTATTTTCTTCCTCACACTGTTTTAGCTTCTTTTCTTCCATGTAAGCATCACATCATTAAATCATAATCCTTCATAGAGTTGCTTCTGTTTCCTTTTTCTCCACAAAGCTTTTTGGTCCAAGCCTTGTTTTCCTTCTCTCTACTGATAACACATCCAACAACATTTTCTTTCCATAAAGCTATCCTTTTAGAGGTGCCTGGGTGGCTCAGTGGGTTAAAGCTTCTGCCTTCGGCTCAGGTCGTGATCTCAGGGTCCTGGGATTGAGCCCTGCATTGGGCTCTCTGCTCACAGGGAGCCTGCTTACCCCCCTCCCCCGCCCCCGCTCTCTGCCTGCCTCTCTGCCTGCCTCTCTGCCTACTTCTGATCCCTCTTTGTCAAATAAATAAATAAAATCTTAAAAAAATAAAATAAAAGCTATCCTTTTACGTATCACATTCGTGTACCTTCCAGACACCAACATTCACACTCCAAGCACTCCCAGCTGGAAAATCCACATTATCTTTAGAAAATATTAGTCTGTATATGGAAACATTTGACCCTATGCCTATTTTTTTTCTTATTCTCTGTAAGTAATATCATTATTTTTGTTTTCAAATTCTTTATTTTTTATCTTTTCATTTAACACTCACTTGGTGACAATCCTCTTGCCAGAAGTGAGATTTGGTCATTGCACTACAAATCCAGCTTTACTTATAAATCTTGTAAATAGCATTTTAATTGTATCAGCTTGTTTTCAGCTACTCCATTTAATGAAGAGACTCTATTCCAATCAGCACAATAAAATTGTGGCTGAAAATGTGATTGAATTTAGAATGTATAATATTGAAAATCAGCTTTGTCATTTTCCAAAGTGTTTTTAGCAAAAATTATTTCATTCATCTTCCGTATCTACTCACATGCTATAGGCATTATTATCTCTACTTTATAGGTAAAGTGAGCATCAGAGTTTTAAAATGATTTGCATATTGTCACATGTAAAATGCATTGAAGATCTGCTACCCAAATCAAAATCTTGCGATATCTCAACCTGAATCTTTTCCATAATACATTAGGTTACAGTTTGACTAAATTCTTGTATATATATTTTAATTCTTCTGAATACACTAAGACATGTCTGTTTCATCCTCCAACATAATGATTTTAATAATTTGTTCCAATAATGTTTCTCTGCTAGTGACCCTTCTGGAGAATACTTCATCTTGGTCACATATAAATTTAACTAAAAATAATCTTTCTAGTTGTTTGGTGACTAATTCAGTCATTTGAGATATTTTTGCTAGTTCCTTACCAACACAATATTTTTTATATGTGAAAACTGAAAGATCACCCTTTGGTTACTATTTTCTCTGTGTTATTCCCAGAGACTTAGATAATAATGGGCTTCATTTTTACAGAAATATCTTTTGCAAGATTTTGCTATTCAATGTCACGTTGAATAATACACAGTCAAAATATAATAAGTATCATAATATACACATCCATTGATTTCAATATCTAAGAAAATTTATTGATGAACAGATACAGACTTCTTCATAATATTGAGCTTAATTATTAAAATTGTGCTCTAAATTCCCCCTATTTTCTCTCAATAATTCATTAGGAATCTATTGCTTTTCACTAAAAAGATTCTTAAAACTTTTTTTAAGTTTGAATATAAATATTTAATTTTTTTAAATTTAATTTTATTTTTTTTCAGTGTTCCAAAATTCATTGTTTATGCACCTCACCCAGTGCTCCATGTAATACGTGCCTTCCTTAATACCACACTAGGCTCACCCAACCCCCAACACCTCTCCCCTCCAAAACCCTGTTTGTTTCTCAGTCCACAGTCTCTCATTGTTTGTCTCCCTCTCCGATTTCCCCCACCTTACTTCTCTCCATCTCCCAGTGTCCTCTGTGTTATTCCTTATGCTTCACAAGTAAGTAAAATCATACGATAATTAACTCTCTCTGCTTAACTTATTTCACTCAGCATAATCTCTTCCAGTCCCATCCATGTTGATATAAAAGTTGGGTATTCATCCCTTCTGATGGAAGCATAATACTCCATTGTATATATGGACCATATCGTCTTTATCCATTCATCCATAAAATCTATCTATGAGAAACCTCCAGCAAATATCATCCTTAATGGGGAAAAGCTGACAGCCTTCCCTTTGAGATCAGGAACACAACAGAGATGTCCACTCTCACCACTGTTATTCGACATGTATTAGAATCCTAGCAATAGCAATCAGACGACAAAAAGAAAAAAAAAGGTATTCTAATTGGCAAAGAAGAAGTCAAACTCTCTCTCTTCGCAGATGACATGATACTTTATATGGAAAACCCAAAAGACCCCACCCCCAAACTACTAGAACTCATACAGTAATTCAGTAATGTGGCAGGATACAAAAATCAATGTACAGAAATCAGTTGCTTTCTTACACACCAATGATGAAAATATAGAAAGGGAAGTTAGAAAATAGATTCCATTTACTATAGCACCAAAAACCATAAGATACCTGATAAGATACCTGGGAATACACCTAATCAAAGAGGTAAAGGATCTGTACTGGAGGAACTGCAGAACACTCATGAAAGAAATTGAAGAAGATACAAAAAGATGGGAAAACATTCCATGCTCATGGATCGGAAGAATAAACATTGTTAAAATGTCTATACTGACTAGAGCCACCTATACTTTCAATGCCATCCCAATCAAAATTCCACTGGCATTTTTCAAAGTCCTGAAACAAACGATCCTAAAATTTTTGTGGAACCAGAAGAGACCCTGAATTGCTAAGGGAATGTTGAAAAAGAAAAACAAAGCTGGGGGCATCATGTTGCCTGATTTCAAGCTTTACTACAAAGCTGTGATCACCAAGACAACATGGTACTGGCACAAAAACAGACACATAGATCAGTGGAACAGAGTAGACAGCCCAGATATGGACCCTCAACTCTATGGTCAAATAATCTTTGACAGGGGCGCCTGGGTGGCTCAGTGGGTTAAAGCCTCTGCCTTCGGCTCAGGTCATGATCCCAGGGTCCTGGGATCGAGCCCCGCATCGGGCTCTCTGCTCAGCGGAGAGCCTGCTTCCTCCTCTCTCTGCCTGCCTCTCTGCCTCTGCCTACTTGTGATCGCTGTCTGTCAAATAAATAAATAAATAAAAAATAATAATCTTTGACAAAGCAGGAAAAGATATCCAGTGGAAAAAAGACAGTCTCTTCGATAAATGGTGCTGGGAAAATTGAACAGCTATGTGTAGAAGAATGAAACTCAGCCATTCTCTTACACCATACACAAAGATAAACTCAAAATGGATAAAAGACCTCATGTGAGGCAGCAATCTATCAAAATCCTAGAGGAGAAGAACATAGGCAGTAACCTCTTCGACATTGGCCACTTTAAGACATGTCTCCAAAGGCAAAGGAAACAAAAGCGAAAATGAACTTTTGGGACTTCATCAAGATCAAAAGTTTCTGCACAGCAAAGGAAACAGTCAACGAAACAAAGAGGCAACCCACGAAATGGGAGAAAATATTTGCAAATGACGCTACAGACAAAGGGCTGATATCCAAGATCTATAAAGAACTCCTCAAACTCAACATGCACAAAACAGATAATCACATCAAAAAGTGAATAAAAATATTTAATTTGAAGCAAGAATACTTTCTTTTACTTGCCTTTGAACCACCAGCTTCAAGGTTCAGCAGTGGGTTACTATCTGAGACTTGGTACAGAATTTTTTCATGGTTTTATGATCCTACATCAGATCTCTGGTCAGTATGGTTACTGCATACCAGCATACAGTTTCTTTTAAAAGCCAATCAATGTTTTGATTATTTTTAGACTGTGTTCCCAACTTTTTCCAGATCTCTTCTCCCTAGAATGTCATCTCTCCTTACCTCTATTTGCCATGTAGATGAGATAAAAATCACAACCAGAGAAACTTCCTGAACATAATTTTCATGTTGTTGTTCACATGACAAGAAGTGTTAACAGACACTTCAAATATAGATAAATAAATAAGCCTTTTAGGATTTGTTTCATTTTGTGTTTTTGTTTTCATTCATCTGTTTGTTTTGGGTAAGGAAGAAAAGCTTATTCAAATCAGCAAAAGCAAAGAGGGAAATCTGACTGAAGGAAACAGAGGTGTTTCATGAAGTGCGAAGGCAGAAAGGACAATATGTCCCACTCATGATGGACTGTCCCACAGCAAAGGCACTAGTAGAGTTCCCCATATTTATAGCTTGGTTTTTCCCACCCATAAAATGGCCACACATCCAGGCCCTATATCACCTCTAAGCTGTGCTTGTGTTTCCATCTCAAATTATCAAGAGAGAATATATGATTGGGCCAAATCACAGAAGATCTTTATGTCTGGTGGTGGTGGCCAAGTGCCTTGATTTAAGATATCAACTGACTCTGAAGCTAAGCTCTCCTCACAACATTCTCTAGAAGATTTAAATGTATGTCAATATTTCTTTTAACTTGACTATTTTTAATATCTTTCAGATAACATGTACAGGTACCCTGAAGACTACATTCCCAGGTATGTATAAAATAAGTTATGTATTATGATTCCCAAGTAATAAGGGGGCGTAACAAATGTTATATTACTTATAGGTTTGGCTCAGGGATGTCACGTTTGGGTAAAAATAAAATTAAAAGTGAGCTTTAATTACTGTTATTTCTCTCTGAAGATCAAAAGCTATAATGTTATTATCTTCCTTAGTGACTTACTTATCCTGAGTCAGTAAGAGAGCTGGTTAAGGGACAAAATGAGACTCTAACCTAGTATTTACAGAATTCTTGTCAATTTCAGATGGATATATCCTAGATTATGAATCAGATCAGATTGTAAGAATGTAGTCTAATTATACATGGAATTGTGGGGCCCTTAAGAAGCCAGGGTGGAAAAGAAGTGTGGCAATACTAATAAAATTTAAGATATGTATACATACATACTTAGATAAGGATGCTTTGTGCTAATGCTGTTGTTAAGATTAATGTCAATCAATGGGGAAATGTGATAAATCAACCCTAAAATAATATATGGATACAGATATAGTGTATTCTCTTTAATACCTGTTAACTGAATTGCAGAGAAATTTGTATGACTTTTTTTTAACAAAAGAAGGTTTATGGCATAAATCATAGCAAAGAATTTTCATTTTCTTTCACAGTATATTCTGACCCAAATGTGTTATTAGATTGGAGATTTCTCCTTTAGGATGAAAACACATCTAAATATAGAGAATTTCCTAGAGGACTCTTCAAGACCTTTCTGAAATGGTAGGCTAAAAGGCAGAAAGGTCTTTCACAAACACAGAGCTTTCTCACTGGGTAGGATAAGATTATAAGCTTTCTGTTAGCCTCTAAAAGGTCTTTTTAAAATTTTTCTCCATGTGGAAATATCTCTGTCAGATTCAGGATGTAGGCTGCAGGCAGATTCACACAAAAAAGAAAATCTTTATTTTTGCGATGTATCATTGAATTCTATAACAAGATAATCTTCAATGCATTATCTCGTATCAAGAGAGATTTGCTGATTTGGTTAAAACAAACAACATAACAAAGAAAATCCTCTATGGATTTTCCACGTAGAAGTTAATCTCTCGGACAATTGATTTGATACTTGTTATTTGAGAGGCAATTAAGATGCAATGTGATAGAAAGTTTAGTGATTTGATCAATCTGCTAAAGAATGGGTTGGTACTCTTGGGTTGGAATGGCAAGAGTCAGGAGGGAAAATTGGTAAAATACCCATCTCATAGCAAGCAGGCTCTTACTTATAGGGCAAGTATGGAAAAGAAATTGGTTCTTTTATAACATTCGTTCATTCAATAAGTATTCGTTCAACACATAGGAGTTGTGCTAGACAAGAGATGCAAAGATGGAAACATGCAGATTACTAAATCGTGGATTTAGCAATCTGTTGTCTATTGTAATAAATCTCAATTTAGGCATAATTTGAATATAAAATGCAGATTTTATCTATAACAAGAGGCTGGCATGTTAATTATGTATGTACTTCACAGTTTGTCTATTTCTGACTATGTATTTAGGGAGCTAACTTCACCTTTGTAGGAAGGACGTGGAGACTCTAGGAGATAACAAATGTGAAACTATTTCCAGCCATTAAAACTTCAACATTAAATCAGCACGTGGAAATAAAGGCTATTTCTTAGGTAGAAGGTAGAAGTAGAAGTAAAATTAGTGATGCCCCTCAGTTCTTAGGTGGTTTGAGGCTATGGCTCCCCATTGAACCCTCTCTCTGCCCCTACTCAACATTGGTTTAGGTAGGAACCCATGCCTCTCTGATCTTATCTTCCTGTTTCCCCAAAACCCTGCCCTTCCTGCGCTGTAGGTCAAAAATGTGATCACTTGAAGGACAATGTAGCATCTATATGTAACAGAAAGTCAGGTACATACTCCCTGGGATTTACCCCTGGACCACTTTATTTTTCCTTTAAAACAAAATTCTAGGGGTGCCTGGGTAGCTCAGGTGGTTAAGTGTCTGCCTTCTCAGATCATGATCCCAGGGTCCTGGGATCAAGCTCCCAGTAGGGCTCCCTGCTCAGTGGGGAGCCTGCTTCTCCCTCTCCCTCTTTCCCTGCTTATGCTCTTTCTGTCAAATAAATAAAATCTTTTAAAAAATTATTTAAAAGATAAGTGTACACAATGCTGGTCTTTTGATCTGTGTTAGGAGGATAATACAGTGGGAATATTATGGATTTGAGATCTAGACAATTCTGGGTTTTAATTAAACTCTTGTAATTACTAGGCTTGTAATCTTAGCTAAATGAGCATTGCTGAATTTAAGTTGTATCATCTGAAAAATACAGATTATAATGTAATACTTCCCTTACAAAGCATAATTGATTAAAAAAAAAAAAGATACTGCTTTATCAGATGAAAATTAAAGTCTAAGAAAATTCCTGCCCACTTATTGTATGTTTATCCTCTAATTTAGGAAATCAGTTCAGGTTTACGACTACTTTAAATTTATCATGACTCCTCAGTTTCAGAGTCTCTCTCGAAAACCTTAGAACAGATTCCCAGCAGTTTTTACTTGTTCTGTTCCTGGGTGGCATTGAAAGGTGCTTTTATGGCAAGGCATAGCTCAGCCATTCTTCTACCTTAAGATGATTTCTTGGATTTCTGCAGCTCTGCAAGCTCCTTTCACTTCCCCTCTTTACTAATATACTAACCTAGTATCCTGGCCCAGACTTTTGGTCTCAATTGTCCTCCTCACCTGAGGATGTTTATGACAAGAGAAGTTTTTTGAAGAAAAAAAAAAAAAGATTTTATTTATTTATTTATTTGAGAGAGAGAAAGAGAGAGTACAAGCAAGGGGATGGGCAGAGGGAAAGGGAGAAGCAGACTACCTACTGAGCAGGAAGCCCTACTCAGAGCTTAATCCCAGGACCCTGGGATCATGACCTGAGCAGAATGCAGATGCTTAACCAACTGAGCCACCCAGGCGTCCCAACGAAAGAACTACTGTGTAGCCTTCCCAGACTTCTGAGACTTCCAAGTGGGTGCACAGATGAAGCCCTCACTATGATCACTGCCATGCTTATGACCAAAATAGCTCCAAGTTTTCCAGCCTTTTGTTTATTTGTTTTAATGTAGAAGCTCCATCCCTGTGTGACTGCAAGATGTCCAGTCCCTTCTTAAGTATTGTTTCTTAAGAAACCTTGAGAAGTACAGATAGGTTCTAAATTGTCCAAATTGTCCAATTGTTCCAAATTGATAGGTTTCAATTGTCTTTTTGTCACTCCTAGTTCTGTTTCACTGCTCTCAGTGTCTTTGCCTTTATCTTTAGAATTCTTCATGCTGGTAGATATTGCTAGTCTCCTTTCCCCAAAACCTTGGCAAAAGACCCTTCTTTTTAAGTACTCCAAAGCACTGGCAATATAAGTGCCTTGTGTTTTATAGACTTTACAAAGAAGTGTATATACTAGAAGAAAATTGGAACACTGATAAAGAGAATAAAAATTTAGTATTAAGTAGTATTTGAAATCATTGCTCTGAGAGTCCATTAAGCATCCCTCACAGGGAACACCACTGGGTTCACTTCTTAGTCTCCAACCATACAAAACCAGTGCTGAGGTTTATACTCTTTCCCAGGACCAGGGGTCTGTATTTGGCCCTCTCACCCGAGGTTCAAGACACCTACACCCATGGTATGGTCCCTGCCAAAGAAAGCAAAAATTCAGTGAGCATGTACTCGGTGACACGTCCCACCAGCAACCTTCCCTTTTCTCTCCTGCATTATTGCTTTTTCTGTCCCTTTTTTATTATTCTCATCAATATGTAAGAGTGTCTTTTCACACCTGAAAAAAAGAAGGAAGGAAGGAGAGAAGGAAAAGGAGAGGAAAGAAAGAAAGGAAAAAAGAAAGCTTTCTTGATACTAGATTTCCTACACCTACCTCTCCTTTGCTCTGTACCCTTTATAGTAAAACATGAAAGTTCCATCTACATTCTGTCCATATTTGCTGGCTTCTCCTCTTCTCTTTTTTCTTGAACCTACTCTATAAAATTTTGTGCCTTCATTAATCTGCCAGCTCAGCTCTTGTCAAGGTCAACAGTGAAATCCACATGGCCAAATCTTAGTGTTTTCCTTTGCAGTCCACCTGCAGCATTTGACGCACTGACTCTCTCCTTGAAACACTTACTTCTCCAGGCTCTGGGTCCTCTCATCCCTAGTTTTCCTCCTCACCAGTGGTTCCTTGCCCTTTGCTGATTTCTGAACCTTTGACATCAGAGTGCCCAGGGCTCATCTAAAGAACCTCTTCTCTCTCTGTATATATACTCATTCCAGAATGTAGTTTGGTCTTTCCCTATGGCTTTAAATAACATTTATATACCAATGGAGCCCAAACACATATATCTGCCAATTTAAAGAAATACCTATTAAGCAAATCAAGGTAACATCAAAACCAATTTTTAACAGACCCCTCAGCTTGCTTTTTCCTCAATCTGACAGCTTTCCAGCCCCTTAAAATAGCTTTATTTTATAGAAATATCTTTCATTTTTCTTTGAATATTGGAACCCTACATTTATAATATAGAATTTCAGAATTGAAAAGAACAACAATGATTAAATAGTTTAATAAACTTGTTTTAAAAATAAGGAAATTGAAACTCACAATTTATGTCCAAAGTCACTCAGATAGAAGTAATGATTTTTTTAAAAATGAATTTACTTATTTAATCTACTTAGATAATGAAGTATTTAAGAGTTCACAATAAAATAATGATGAATTAAAAACTTTAAAAATAGGGACTAAGGAAAATATACCTGAAAGTAGAAAATAGTAAAAGATACAGTTAATATTATTTTAAGTTTTGGAGTGTCAGCAATTGTGCTTATTGGTCAGAGGGCCATTTCAGACATGTTCAGAGCAATGCACTCACCTCTGGGATGTGGACTTATTTATTAATCTATTTTTGATAGTAACTAATCTACATAAAACACTACCAAACATTGTGCTTAAAGTTTATTAGATATTTGCAATAGGCTGGAGCTATTTGGCATTGCTAAGTAAAATTTTATTTTTTAATTTGTTGGTTAGGCAACTGTTCCTTTATAATACTTTATTTGGGATGATTAATCATTTGAGACCTGCCTGTAGACACAGGGCACTGCATTATAAATCACATCTTATTTTCATTCATAGGGAATGAAGTGATATTCATTTTTTGGACATGATTTATCATTTGCAGGTTGTATCTGCTATCTATGTGAGCTAGGAAAATGGATGGATTGCCTTATTAAAAATTCTTCACATTTTGCTATTATATTCTCAGCATAGCCAGAGAAAAACCATGAATAGGGACAACTCCATATTCCAATATTAAGCTGTACCGAATTACTGATGAAAGGAAGGGTTACAGATGAGTTCCTTTGTTATCAGATAAGAGAAATACATACAAGCATCTGGACTTTTCAAGCCATTTCATACAAGTATCATTTGATCTGTTTTTTTTAAGGACACCTACTTACTATTTACATATACTTTGTCCTCTTTCAGAAGCATAGGGAGTACTATAGGTGTTATGCCTTGAGATCAGTGTTCTTTTTTCTTTTCATGCAATTCCCTCCAGCTCTTGCCAATCTGTAATCTCAAAGTTAAAGCAGTTGCTACTATTTTATGAAATGCTACTCTCACTGCCTGATATGTTCCTCTGTTCCCAGCCTGCCATTGTGAAGGCTGGTCACCAGGGCCATTGTCGTTGTGTGGTGGCAATGATAGGCTGTCCACTCTAATCCTAAAAGAATTTCTCAGATGAAGGTGTAAGGAAAATTAATCAAACATCAAAAGCAAATAGTATTCAGGGCTTTTGGACTAGACTTGCATTACAATCCTAGCTCTGCTAGTTACTGTCTTTGTCTTTGGACAGTTTAACTCTAGGAGTTGCAGATTCTTTATAGGCACAGTGGGAATTTAAAAACAAAGTATCTCAGAGTTGTTCTGTGTGCTGAATGAGCACTGGCATAAAGAAAAGCTTTCAGAATTGTTACTTATTGCTGGCGTTACACATAAGGCCAGGGAAAATATGTTAATCTATCTATCTGACTCTCAGACTTCCCACCTATAAAGTGGGAAGTAATATTTTTGCAGGATTTCCCTAGGACTTTGGTATAATGTATATAAAACATTTAGCATAGTATATGGATGTAATAGGTGATCAATCATTTTACAACATCTGGACGTCTGCCAAGCTGAGTCTACAATATCTCTTTGGCCTTGTATTTTTTTAAGCATCATTGTCAGTTAGTATTTAGATAGGAAACATAGTTTTAGGGGATTATTTGGAACGATATTCTGGGCAAGTAAACTGGCAGCACAATGTACGGTTAAAAGTACAGATAACCTCAGTTCTAGTCCCACCTCTGCCACTTACTAGCCTTCCGACCTTCAAATTATATGACTTCTCTGTGCCTCAAATTTCTTATATATATAATGAGAATGTGATAGTGCCTGTCTGGTCAGACTGTTGTTAGAATGGTATAAATGAATATAGAAAATGAAGGTCAAGTAGCATCTGACAAACATAAATGCTAAATAAGTATTTGCTGTTATTTCCTGAAAAATCCAAAACCACCTGTTCAAATGTATGCACACACACACACATGCATGTAGGAATTCATGTACTTTTGCATCCATTCACTTGTACATGAATATATCTACCTTGGTTGACTGAGGATAAACAAGAACGTGCAATCATATATTGAATTTAGCTGAGAAATTAGTTAAGAACTATGTGTAAGGTGGATTCTAATAAGATAAATTATCTTTCATTATTATAGAGAGGATGAGTATTATATTGAAGACACACCAATTTATGGTAACTTAGATGACATAGTCCCAGGTAAGTTGTATTTTTGCCGAAATTATATTTATCTATAAATTAATATCTCTCCCCTTAATTCCACACCATTTGAGGTAGCTTATTTCTGGTTGCAATCACATTTAAATATCCCAATGGCAATCATAGATTCAATAATGTTTAGTATATTATTTAGTATACATTTCCAAAGCTGCATATTATAAATTGTATTACAACATTCTGTCTTTCTATATTCTCCTCATTTTACTGTAGTAGAAATGTGAATACAAAAGACTATCACCATGAATTTTGACACACACAATTCTATGAAATAAAGCTATTTCTAGAACAGAAAATGGCTCAGGGAAACAGAGTCCTGCACTCTGTCTACAAAAGCAAATCTATAGTGAATAATCTGGAACAAGGAGCATGTTCTTTGGTTCCCCTTGTTTTAACTGCTCCTGTTAAGCAAAGAACCTAGGGCTACATCGATGGCAAGTGGGTAAAGAGAAGAGCTAAATCACCACAGACTAGGTTATACATTTTTTACTCTTAGGTAACAAGTACTTTTCAATTCCCAGCATCCCTTATTACTTGAAACATCCCAACCACCCCAAACAAAATGCCACTAAATTCCTTAAGGCAGACAATCATGATCTGATCCCAGAACTCTGATGAGAGAAGCCATGAGGCTAAATGCTAACACATTCATCCTTGCACCCTCAAGCGCTTCAATTCATTCATGAATGGGGGTTAACCAAGATTTCCAGAAATGGACTAAACTATCTGAATCTCTGTATATCAAATCTAAGCTATCTAAATCTCTGAATATGCAATTCTCCTAAAGTTAGGAATAACTAAAGGATTCAAAATTTTATTTAATTATTAAAAATGTATTTAATCTTTGTCTTCCCCTTCCTTTTAAAGTATCTTCTAATCTCTGTGCTCTGAGAAATCAGAACTATTTTTTAGGACTATCTCGTTAAACATAATTTACTCTTCTGCTTCACCCTGCAGAATCATTGTGCCCACATGTAATATTTGAGATTTCAATTCTTCTGTACTCTGGTGGTGCAAAGCCCACCACATCTGCAATTTCAGTATCTAAGGGGGGCATTGGTGCCACCCCACACATTCTGATCCAGTAATGTTTAGGAATAGGGTTTAGGAATTTACTAGTTGACAAATTTCCAGTAAGTCTAATGCACGTTTTCCATGGACCATACTTCAAAAAACATCACTCTGTTCTTTTCAGAAGGGGTTGAATGATTGATTATAAGATAACTTGCACTATAGTGAATATATCTTTTTTCCTATGGGATCAAATCAGTGCAATCCACATTTCTGCCAGGTGACTGGCCATCCTATGAGTCACTTTCTCTTTATCTTCTCCCTTTCAAACACACATATGTGGGGGAAGAACGGGATGGATGGTTTAATAAGCATGTTCCCACAGGATGAAATGACTTCAGGTCTGCCACTATTGGACACTGCACAAAACCCCTAAATACTTAGGACCAGCATTACAGAGCTCCAGACCCCCCAAAACAGCCTGTGCTGTCACTGATTTATGGGACAAAAAACAGGATCTAAACATTCTTTTTAAAAAATAGAGATGTTTAAATGCCTCTGAGTAAAACCTCTTGCTCATGGGGAAAATAACCAAATTGCAATCATCTGTGCATGTGCCCTGCACTCTGCCGCCATGACCTTTTGCAATCACACACAAATATAAGCAAACACATGGGATCTCTATATCATTCAAATGGAAACTGAAGTTGAGCCTGTCATGTCGTACAATGGCATAAATTAATATGATCTAGTCCTTACCCCTAGTGACCTTCTTTTGTCTTATTATTAACTCTCTGGGGTAAAAGACTTCTTCACATTCTGATCTGCAGAAAATGGTTTGTGCTTCCTCACTTTTTTGCGTCTCCACAAAAAAAGACAAGTCGAATGATTCTTGGGGGTTTCACATGTACAGCTAAGTATGGTTTGGGTCATGTATTTTTATTTGTGCCAGCATTTTTTATTTTTCTATTGTAAATCATGATCTTTTAAACCCCCAAGAACCAGTGGATGAAAATTGTTATGAACAAATGAAGGCTCGACCAGAGAGATGTACAAATAAACTGCAAGAAGTGACCCTGCCTGCACAGGTGAGTTTTGTTGTCTGTATTAAGGGTCAGGCTCAGCCTAGATCACAGCATGGCTCATGTTTCAAGAATCTAAGAGCAGCACATTCTGATTCGTATCCGAAGCTGAAGGCCAATTCAGTGTCAAGTTCTAGGACCTAAGCTCTAAAGGGAACCTCAAAGACAAATAAACAGTACTCAGAACCAAACTCAAAAAGTCCAAAGTGTATAGCATTACAAAGGCAATAGGTTAAAGGGAAAAATAGATTCTCTTCTTAATCAACTAAGCTTTTTCTTTCAGATTGAAAAAAAAAATTGGGTACATCACAAAGATAAACATGAAATTTTACACTTATATAATGCTCATAAGACCTTGGTATCAGGAATTTATGGGGGCAGGGGGAGAAGGGGAGAGGGAGGGAGAGAGAAAAAAAGAGAGAGAGAATGGGAGGGAGTGAGGGAGAGGAAGGCAGAGACACAGAGAGACAGTTCTTTAGTTAAAAGATAAATTAGCTAGATATAAAAGACCATATTTCTATTTTATAAGGCAACTGAGTATAAATTTTAACACAAGTTCTATGGCTATGGACTAATGGCAAGAGATTTTCACATATCTTATGTAGGGTTAGGGAGGACATAAATGTAAGCAGAAATATGTGAAGACCCTAGAAGAAATGGATAGTTTTTCCTTTTCCTACCACAATCAGTTCAACTTCCTCAGACATAGCACTGATTTTACCAGAAACCATTCATAATTTTTCATATGCATGCTGTTGACATGTTACAAATTTCTGTTAAAAGAGTTCTTTTTTCTTTCCCTTCTGGATCTTGTCCCCTCAATTATGTGTTCTCTTGCTATTCCCTAGAAATAGTCAGAGGGCCAGCCAGCATTTCCTACATGGTCGTTATGTGTCAGGCCTTGTCATATGTGTTTTACATGTATTATCATCTTGAGTTTTATGAAGGAAACAGCATTATTTCTCCCATTTGACAGAGGCTTGAGAAGGATGAAAAACTTACCCTAAAGCACTCAGGTACTAAGTAGAAAGAGAATCTAAACTTAGTCCTGCCTAACAGAAAAAATTTTCCTCCCTAAGATGGGTCACATCTTGAAAACTTCCCACTAAGATAGAATTTGTCTCCTTTCCTCTATATGAATCCACCAAGAAGTCAGAATTCTTGAAGTCTTTAAGAAACCAAGATGTGGTAAGGTTTAAACGGACTATGAAGTCACTTTCTGATGCACAAATCTGTCATCTGATGGTCCATTAATGGCAAAAAAAATTTTAGATAAAACGTATAAAAGGCTTCTAATACAAATTGCTAAATCCAATATAATAAAGAGAAAACCTCTTAGAGAAAGCTAAAATATAACCATACCATCTGAAATGTGAGATTCACAGCACCTTAATTGTAAAAGAGTTGAAAATTCATAATAAAAGTTGCTACTTATTACATATGAATTGTGGTGCATCTGGTTTTTACTCAAGTGGAAATTGTGCAAAGCTTAAAATGTCTTAAAAGTCTGCTATTTTATAAATTATGTATTTAAAGATACTTCTAAGGATATTACCCTTTATTCTATTACATCCTTCTCACAAATTTAGTTTCACAAATTAAACATAATTTCTTTATATTTGCTCAATTCCATTTTATTAGAATGATCATGATCATCAAAATCACTACCCAGTTTGCTACTACAAGACTTACTTTGGTCAATTACAAAAGCGCTCTATATTATGCAGAGAGCTTTATGGGTAAAGTGTCTGTTTGTTGGAAAAAGAAATCAGCTCCTTGCCCTTTAAAAATGATAGGCACAGTTCAGAAGTTGTAATTTCAATATCTACGTCTACCATTAACTAGGAAGAGTTCATCAGGAAACCTAATTAAGAAAATGAGTCCATAGAGTTCCTGTATCATAAAACAGAGGGACACAATTGTGAACTTATTCCTCTCCTCTTCATGTCCCAGTCTCCAACCAATCTCAACCTTTCCCTTCTATGTCAGAAGTATCCACTCTCCTTTTCCAAGCCAATAACAATTTATGCTCTTGATCATTTCCTCTACTGCTTTCAAGATCGTGCACCTTCAATTAATTGTCTCCATTTTCAATCTTTTCTTTAAAAAGAATCATTACTATTTACCTACCAATCTGCACAAATCATCCTAATACTTAAAAACAAAACAAACAAAACAACGAAATTTGACTTCTACCTGTGTTTCTCTCTGATTCTTAAGCTGATTCTTACTTTCCTTGACTGTTTTCATAGATACACATTCTTTTACTCCTGGCTATATTTTTTCCACCCATACACTCAGCTGAAACCACACTCCGGAAGTCACAAGTGACTTGTGTACAATCTGTGATCCTTTCTCAGGACTCACATTCTTTGAATTCTGCAGCACTTGATAAAGTTGACCAACTGTTGACCAAACATACATTATTTGAAATGCTTTTAGTTATAAGTACAGAAATAAAGATCTCTAAGTCCAGCCTAAAATGACCTCAAAGGGAACCTGGGGTCTGGCAGGCAAGAAGGAAATAATGGGGGAAGATGGAAAACTATAATTCTTGCCAGATGCCAGTCACAGAAATGGATATTGTCATCTTTATACTTCTGAATCTTTGTACTTTATACTTCTGAATCTCAAGAAATGTAGAAAAAGTGGGGACTTTTGTGGGTACCATCAAATGACCAGTAATTAAACATATGCAAAGTAGATTTTGAGATTCATTTAATTCCTTCCTATTATGCTTGTTCTGGTTTAACAAATTGGAGTATTGTCACTTGATGAAAGCAACACAGGGCAAGAGCTACCTAAGGTGAAGGCAGGGGGAGAGGCATGTAAGAGTCCATCTAAATGCTTGTGCATGGGATGCCTGGGTGGCTCAGTTGGTTAAGTGTCTGCCTTTAGCTTAGGTCATGATCCCGGGGCCCTGGGATCAAGTCCCACATCGGGCTCCTGCCTGATGCACAAGGAGGGAACCTGCTTGTGTGTGCACACTCTCTCTGACAAATAAGTAAATACATAAATAAAATTGTTTAAAAAATAAAATATTCATGTATATTTTGTGTATAAGAAACAAAAATACACACACAAAAGTTTCATCTAAGCATTTTTATACTCAAAAGTCTTGGTTGACTATTGTTTTTTGTTGTCATCCTACCTGACCAATTTGGCAAAACAAGGTAGCCAAAGCCCAGAAAACAGCTGCTTGTTTTTCACAGATCTTAGAAATTCCCAGCAGTCGTCCAAGAATGAGATAACAATGAAAAATGAACGTGACTTTCTTTTTAGGCAACCGAGGAAGGACAGATGCTCTATGCCTCACTGGATCACAGCTGTGGGGGGAAGAGCAGGATGCCCAAGAAGGAGAACGGTAATTTGTTAGACAAGGATGAAGATGGGCAGTTACACACAGGGGATGCCAGCCTTTCCAAGGTCACTTCGGTAAACAATTTCCCACTTGAGAGCCAGGAAATAGAGGAAAATGTTCATGATGATCCCATCCGATTGTTTGGATTGATTCGTGCGAAGAAAGAATCTATAAACTAGATGGACTGTGATCGAGCTCAATAATCCAGCTCTTACTGGAGATGTTAAAGCCAACAAAATCCCTATACGACACGACATGATTTGGGAGGGTGACGATCTACATCATTTGTTAGTGAGATGGTGGCTGACCTCTTATCCAGAGCTTATGTTCTTGCACACCAAACGTAATGCCATGAAAATCAGTTATTTGAATTTGCTTAACAAATGCCTAAGTCGCAAAATGTAAAATAAAATCAAGTCTGCACACGGAGCCTAATTATGGAGTCATAACTTCACCGACAATACTGAATACTCAGAGAAATAAAACAAACAAAACAAAAGTTTTAAGCACAAGTATATTCTAGAACACATTGAAAGAAAAATAAAAGCCACCTTTTAAAAAAATATTTCATCCTTTTTCATCCACGTAACATCCCTTAATTGAAAGAAATTTCTGATTGAAAGACATGGGACATTAAATACATTCCTACAAGAAGTGGAAGAATCTTCTTAAGAAGAATTGTTCCGAAATGGAAGTATCTTTATTGCTTTTAAAAATTATTATAAAGTTAGTGCATGCTCCCTATAACAATAGACAAATATACAAAAGAAGTTGGATATCACACTAGCCAGAGATAATTACAATGAGCAACTATCCATATATACAAGCATACATCAGTTTTCTTTCTTTTTTTCTTTTTTTTACCAAGAAAAGGGAGTGATTATTTTATACATATTATTTAAACTTTTTCCACTTAATATATTGGAGATTTATTTTCCTTATTTTTTTAACTATAACTAAATACAGTTATACATTATCATTTTAATGCCTGCATAGCATCTCATTGATGACTACATTAGAATTTATCCAAATAATTTGAAAGTACATTTAGCTCATTTCCAAGTTCTGTTTTTCACTTTTACAAATAATATTGCAGTGAGAATGCATCCCCACCGGTGCTTACACACTTACCTGACTTCTCAAGGCTAAATGCCTGGGAAAAGAACTGTTGCTTTAAAAGGTGTACATAGTGAGTCTCCATCGAATATGTTTCTAAAAGGTCAAGAGTTTGGTCAAGTTATGTGTCCAATTTAAATTCCTAAACTGCCCTCCAAAATGTTGTTTAAAAAAAATCTCTCTGTTATCTTTCCATTTGGAATAGGAGTTTAATTGGGTCTCAAGTCATCACTGACCAAGGAAAGTATACATGTGAGCTGTCCTGCCCTCTAACCACAGCCTAGTGGATTTTACTCATTCTTTCTTCAGTTCTTTGTTGAGTTCCTAGTGTAGCAGAGGCATTAAGTTAGAAGTCGTGTACAATGAGGGAAACAGAGGTAAAACAAGGTAGGCCCTGCTCCCATGGAGTTATAAATGGGTAGAAAAGATGAGTATCAGGTTAATAAAGTATCAGTACTAGTAAAAAATTATATAACTAAGAAAATATAAGAATGAGAAATAATGATGGAGAGAAGGGCATCTCTGAAGAGAACATTTTAGTTCTGAGAACTGACAATGAGGAGCCACCCATGTAAAGAGAGAGAGGAAGGAAGAGCATGTTGTGGAAGAACTCTGTCCATACTTGGAATTACCAACATCTGTCAGTAATTGTTTTCTGTTATGAACTGGCATAAAATTAAATGCCAGTGCTAAAGTAAAATCTCTGAAGTTGTCCACAATGCCATGAAAAAAAATCTAAAAACTCTTAATGTCTAAGGGCAGAAGAAAAGAATTGGGTTTCCAATTTTAGAGAAGAAGCATAAAAACATAAGAAATAATAAGTATATATCGACTTTAAATTTTCAAAATATTTGCTATTATACATTTGTGTTACATTTTTATACATACCATGATTTAGTAAAAATAAAGTTTGAATATATTTTTGGCAGTTACTTTTTCCCATAACTGATCTCATCATTCACTTGTATTATTTACCTAGAGCCTAAAGATATTTGAATTTTTGCCTCTGGTTTATATCATTTGAATTCCACTCAATATTTTTTTTTTAAAGATTTTATTATTTATTTGACAGAGAGAGAGATCACAAGTAGGCAGAGAGGCAGGCAGAGAGGGGGGCGGGAAGCAGACTCCCCACCAAGCAGAGAGCCGGATGTGGGGCTCGATCCCAGGACCCTGGGATCATGACCTGAGCTGAAGGCAGAGGATTTAACCCACTGAGCCACCCAGGCGCCCCACTACTCAATATTTTGAGTTTTATGTTTCAAATGTACTTGATGACTGATAATTTGGAAGGTTTTTAATGAGAAATCTATATTCCTTAATAAATAAAAGCCTATTCAAGTCATCTATCTCCTTTGAGTGAATGTGTTAGTTTGTATCTTTGGGGGAGTGTATCCCTCTCATCTAAGTTGTTTAATTTATTAGCATGAAGTTGTTCAAAATATTCCCATACTTTCCTTTTAATATCTATAGAATCTGGTGATTTAACTTCTCTTTGATACTGGGAATTTGCTTCTCCCCACCCCCCATCTGTCTAGTTAGAGATTGATCAACTTTTTTCCTTCCTCAAAGAACCAGTCACCATTCACATAATCTTTCTATCGTTTTTATATTTTCTGTTTCACCAATTTGTCCTCTGATCTATATTATTTCTTCTGTTTATTGTGTTTTCATCTGTTCTTTTTTAGCTTCTCAAGGTAGAAGCTGAGGTCATTAATGAGACTTTTCTTCTTGTCTAAAATGGACATCTGGTTTCACAAATCTTCCACGAATTTTGATATATTGTGTTGTTATTTTAATTTCAAGTATTTGTAATTTCCCTTTGGTTCCTTCTTTGGCCTATTGGTTGTTTAGAAGTGTGTTATTTAATTCCAAGTATTTGAAGAGTTTCCAGATCTTTTTTGTTATTGATTTTGAATTTAATTCCATTGTGATAAGAAAGCATATGATTTGAATCCCAAATTTATTGAGGCTTCCTTAAATGCCCAGAATACAGTCTATCTTGGTGAATGATGATACGCACTTGAAAAGAATGCATAGTCTATTTTTATTAGATAGAATATTCTATAAATGCCAATTAGGTTAACTTGGTTGATAAAGCTTTTCAAGTCTTCTATACGCTCTCTATTTAAAATGCATTTTTATAGGCAGCATGTGGTTTATTTTACTTTTTTTAATCCAATCTGATAATCTACGACATTTACTTGGACTGTTTAGACCATTCTCATTTAATGCAGTTATTGATACGGTTGGGTTCAAGGCAATATTCTTGATCTCTGTTTTCTATTTGTCTTCTATTTTTCATTCATCCTTTCTATCTTTTTATGACTTCTTCTATATCTTCTATATATATCTATATATTGATACATGAACAATACAAGAGCTAGAGGCACAACCCCCAACACAGTCAAAAACCAACATAAAACTTTTGACCCCCCCCAAACTTAACCAGTAATAGCCTCCTGTTGACTGAAAGCTTTACCAATAAATGTAAACAGTCTGCTAACATGTATTTTGTATGTTGTGTGTATTACATAGTATATTCTTACAATAAAATAAACCTGAGAAAATATTAGAAAGAGAAAATATAATGCAAGATGCAAGAAAGAGAAAATATAGTTACAATACTATACTTTATAAAAAAAAATCTGCATATAACCAAACCCATGCAGTTCAAGGGCCAACTGTACATTGGTATATTTTTATGACTCTATTTTATCTTCATTGATAGATTATTAGTTAGAAGTTTGTTGTTGTGTCATTTTAGTGATTGCTTGGGGTTTATAATAAACATCTTTTTCAAAAAGATTTTATTTAGTTATGGAGAGAGAAAGAGATAGCAAGAGAGAGCAGGGAGAAGAGGGAAAAGTAGGCTCCTCGTTGGGGAGGGAGACCCACATGGGGCTCCATCCCAGGACTCTGGGATCATGAACCAAAGGCAGGGGCTAAACTGACAGAGCCACACCAGGCACCCCTATGAAAAACACCTTAAACTTATCACAGTCTACATTCAAGTGATATGCTACTACTTTGGTATAGTATAAGAACCTTAAAATGGTGCAATTCTATTCTGACTTTTGTGCTCTGGGTTTTCTTTATTTTACACATTGTTATTATTTTTCTCTTAATAAGGAATTATCCATGTTATTTCCTTTAATAAGGCCAATTCTCTTTTTTAAAGATTTAAATAAAAATAAATATTGTCATGCTTATCCCTGTATTTAACATTTCCAGAACTCTTCAATCCTTTGTGTAGATCCAAGCTTCTAACTAGCTAGTATCATTATTCTTCAGCTTAAGGGACTTTCTTAAACATTTTTTTTAGAACAAGTCTGCTGGTGATTAATTCCTCCAGCTCTTACATATCTGAAAAAGCCTCTACTTGCCTTCATTTTTGAAAGATATTTTCTCTGGGTAAAAAAATTTATGATTGAGTTGACTATATATTTCTTTCAGTATTTTAAAAATATTGCTTTACTGTTTTCTCAGTTACATTTTTCTGAAGAAAAACTCTAGTGTCATATTTGTCTTTGTCCCTCTGTTATTTATTTTCTCTGATTGTTTTAAGATTTTCCTCCTCACTGATTTTAAACAATATGCCTTGGAGTAGTTTTTGTTTGTTTGTTTTTATGTGTCTTGTGTTAGGAGATTGTTGAGCATCTTGAATCTGTGTATTTATAGTTTTCATCAAATATGGAGAAAAATAACCAATATTTCTTTAAATATTTTTCCTGTTCCCCGCCCACAACTCATTTTCAAGATCTTCAATCACTTGCAAATCTCCTACATTTCACTGATATGTTTATTTCAGTCTTTTCTCTGTGTTCCATTTTGGGTAATTTCTTTTGCTATGTCTTCAAGGTCACTAGTCTTTGCTTCTAAAATGTTTATCTGCCAGTAATCCAAGATGGATACTTTTTAATCTCAGATAATTTGTTTTTACCTCTATAAATTCAGCTCGAGTAATTTTTTCTTCATTTTTCACATCTCTATCATACATGTCTAACCTTTCTTCTTACTTCTTGAACATATTGCGTGTAGTTTTAACAACTGTTATAATGTTTTTATTTGCTAATTCTATCATCTCTGTCATTTTTTTTAAAGATTTTATTTATTTATTTGACAGACAGAGATCACAAGTAGGCAGAGAGGCAGGCAGAGAGAGAGGGAGGAAGCAGGCTCCCTGCCGAGCAGAGAGCCCCATGAGATCATGAACTGATCCGAAGGCAGAGGCTTTAACCACTGAGCCACCCAGGAGCCCCCATCTCTGTCATTCTGAGTTTCAACTGACAGATTTCCCTCATTATGGGTTATATTTTCTTACATTTTAATATTCCTAGTATTTTTTTTAAGATGGGGTACTTTATTATGTAACTTAAAAGTCTGTGTAAAAGCTACAAACAATGTATCAATTAATATTATACATTTATATATGTACAATACAGAATATATATCCAATATTAAGGTAAAAATTCCTAGGCTTACAGGGGCTCCTGTGTGGCTCAGTTTGTTAAGCAACTGCCTTCAGATTCAGGTCATGATCCTAGAGTCCCAGGATCAAGTCCCACATCAGGCTCCCCACTCAGCAGGGAGTCTGATTCTCCCTCTGACCCTCTCCCTTCTCATATTCTCTCTCTCACACTCTCTCTCTCAAATAAATAAAATATTTTTTTAAAAAATTCCTAGGTCTACAGAA